CCCCCCCTGGCCAGCAGCCAGGGGAGGAAAGTCCAAACCGAATGGATAAACCAGAGGGGAGCAGAGGGGGGAAAGCGGCACCTGCTGATTGCCTGAGCCCTTGTAGAGAGGGCTGTGGGAACTCTGTGCGCCTTCTCCCCAAAAGGATGAGGATGGTCCTCCTTATCCCCCTGCCAAGAGGGGCGACAAGGGGAGATCCCTGGCCTGAGATGCTCAGGGGAGGCTTCCCAGCTGCGGGCCTGCAGGTCGGATCCTGCCAGACCTTGCTCCCAGCTTTTTCTTGGAGGAAATGGGATCCCGGCAGAGGTGACGTGCCCTGCTCCAGCAGTGCAATGCCGAGGAGGGGAGGGGGCAGGTACAGCACCAGGAGCTGCTGCTGTCCCCCATGCCGCTGCCACCACCACGGGGTCACTGGGACCTGTGGGAGGAGGGGGAATTGCTTGGAGTAGGGTGCGTGCCCCTGGACCACTGCCTGATGCATCAGACCTCAGGACCCTTCAACAATTTCTCTGGAGGGGAAGCTCAAGTCATTTCTGCTTTGCTGTAGGCAAGCAAGGTTAGCACTCTGGGTGGAAACGGACAGCAGGTAATAAAAACACAGTGCAATAAGGATGAAGAGGCACCCTGAGCAGAAACCCCTGGTTACAGGCCCCCCAGCACCAAACTGCCCGGATGCTGGAAGGTGCCATCAGTGCCCTGCGGGCAGGGTCCTCCACTGCCTTATCTCTTCATGATAAAATCATCAACTGAGTTTCTAACCAAAAAACTTCCAAGAAATTTTGCTAATCCTTGAAGAATGTTAGCAACACCTTATAACAGGTGAATTTGTGTAGAAAGCTGTGGTGAAGAGCTCCCTCTTGAAACCGTGATCGTAGGCTAGGAATGACAAGACTTTCTTTAAATGAAAATTAATCTCAGCAAAGGGAAACAATAATTTTTGCAGAGCCAAGTGCACAGAAGAGGAGGAGGAGGAGTATCCCGGAACGATGTGACTAGGAAGACTTCGGGGTGAAAAATCTGAAATATTTTGAGTGACACATAGACACTAGCAAGCAGGGAAGCCTTATTGCCCATTCCTAAGCTCTTCTGCAGGCAGACGAGTCCCTCGGGGCCGGGGGAGGTCTGGGCCTCTGGACAGGCAGGGGAGCCTTCGGCAACACGTCCGCCCTCCTACACAAAACACCACCAGCCACCCCACATGTCCTCTCACAGAGGCTTTTAGCAGCTGTTCATGTTTTTAATTAGCTGCTGGATTGCAAAGGGCTTTAAAATCAGCCCTTCTCAGAGCAGCAAGACAGTCGAGGTCTCTGGTGTCCCCAGGATTTAATCCAAAAGCAAGAGACTGCACAGGTCCTTTGGCACCCGCTGCATTGCAACACCAGAACCGCTGCAAGAGCCACTGCCCTGTCTGCACGGCTCCCGGCTTGCCCCAAACCTGCCCTGAATTCCTATCATGAAAACTTTCACTTTCTGCCATCCAGACAGAAAAAGGGGCCCAAAAATGGTTCAAATGTCATTTCATGGGACAGACAGACATACACGCTGCTCAAACACCTGCAGGTAACATCTGCACACAGATCACGCTCAAAATACGTTTCCCTATTTTTACATCTCTGAGAGGTTTGAATGGGGGCTAAATGATTGAGGCTGGGTTTGGGGTTTTTTTTTCTCCTGGCTTTGCCGAGTTTGTGTCAGGAAGGAGAGAGATGTCAGCACACGGCGGGGAGGTGCCTCCGAGGGGAAAGGAGCAGAGGCCAGGGGCCTGTTAGCGCTGGGCAAAGCAGCGAGAGGCAGCTTCTGTTAAAATGTCCTTTCCCTGCCGGTAGTAATGGCTCCCTCCTGGTACAAAATTGCCCTTTCCCCAAACACGCTTATTCACGCCTTTCCCCTGGAGATGAAAATGCAACAGGCTGCATATTTTTTGGTAGAAAGCTTTACGATTGCCCAATAATTAATCTCAGTAAAAAATAGGTTTAAAATAGTGTTGGACGCCAAGGGGATTCCTTGCTTTCTAATTACCAGACAGTAATCTCCCTCCTTTTGCTCTCGCCCCTGCTTCTGCAGCACTTTCCCCCTCCTGCAGCCTCACCCCTCTCCCTGGCTCTGCCCGGGGCCGCCCTGTTCCTGGTGGGCTCTGCCACAGATGCTGTGGTGCTGGTCCCAGTAACACTCCCAGCACCCCTGGCCTCAGGGGGTTCAGGCAGGGAGACAGGGCTGAGCCCTGGGGCACACTTGCTTTTTCCGGATAAGGGGCAATATCCTTGCTCCTGGCTGCCAGCCCTCCCTGGGTTTTGGCCTAGATGTGGCAGAAGAAAGTGTTTTTTAATTTTAAATAGGCCCAGAGCTTCTGTGTTTATGGTTCATATTAACATTCAAACCCACTCCATGAGAAAAAAAAAACCCTCGATGTATTTTCTCTCTTTTTCACAGCTAATCTGCAGCCAGGGGGAGGAGGATGGCGGGCTCATTTTTTTGGCAGAGCAAACTCTCTTTCTCCAGCTGTCCTCACCTGCCAACGAGGGCATGGACCTGTGCTCTTTCCTGGGAAGGGTGTTCTTGTTTTGTTGTCGCCCTGCCTTGTTTTGTAGGCGTCATCCAGGAGCCCCCAGAGACATGCTGATTGAGATGAACTTGTGCCTGCTCCTGGGGAAGAAGTGACCTTCTCTACTTAGGAGCCAAGGTGGACCTCAGAAGCTCCACCTCATGTTGCAGGTCTTGGATGTGAAGATCTCTACCAAGAGGAGAAGGACTCGGTGTCCAAACTGATTTTACCTATGGGGTTAACTATGGGGATGTGCAGTTATCAGTGATGCTATGCTTTTCCTAAACACCCTGGATTTCCCTCTGTGCGGAAAGCTATTTGAGTCAAGCATGAGTGCTGAAACCTTCAGTCTTGAGCACTCACATCTATGGAGGCTTGGGAGCCATTGATTTCATGCATGGCAATTTCAGGGAGAGCTAGTCGTGCCTAGACCCTACCCGCCCTGTCATCCAAGAGCTTTAATCATTCATTTCCAATGAAATCCTTCACGTATCACGCAAATGAGGTCTGCATTGCCATCTTTACTGACGCAATGAACTTAAGAAATGGCATGGTTGTTGGGCTGTTGAATTTTGTTCTTTTTTTGATCCTTTTGTTTTGCTTGCATGAAGGATAACATGAACATGAAAGAAAGGGCAAGTCATCATCACAAAATGTACTTCCAGCGGTGGAAAGCACGTCCTCCAAGAGGTGTTAGGCACCACGCTAACCTTTCAACTTCAAAAGCCTTAGAAAGGAACAAATGAAACCCCAAAGCCAATTGCATGTCTCCTATATCTCTTTATTGACCGCCACTGACCACGTTCTCAGCTTGAGTGCCAGATACCAGTGGAAGAGGTGGAGCTACCCTAGAATTACAGCGACAGCAAGGGAGACGGTGTGTTATGCACAGGCTGGGGAGAACTGGCTGGGGATGTGAAGCCTCTGCACAGCGGTGAGCCCCCCTCTCTGCCCCGAGGGCCTACTAATACCGTGGAAAGATGTGCTTGTCCTCGTGTCAGTTGTCCCTAAGGGAAATGACAGGGTAGTGGTGTGAACGGAAACACTTAAACACTTGGCTGAAAAAAAATATATGTTGCAACCCCACGAAGGTAAGAGGTTATTATTTCTCCTGCGGTCGCGAGGAACTCGTGGCATATTCAGCGCATGCACGCAGGATCTCAGGTGTGGGGCTTGGCTCTGCTGCTTTTCTTTAAGAGTAACCAGTTTAACTCTGCGTGGGGTAGAGCAAGTCTGCAGGGCTTTTCCCCTGCTCCAAGCCTTGCCTCAAGACGTGGTGCACCAGGAGCCAGTGTTATTTGTGCACTCCCTCCTACCTGATGGTGGTTTTGGACTACAGCACCGGACGAAGACCCTTTCAGCAAGTACAACAGCGTGGCAGCACGCGCCATCCATGCCATCCCCGCAGCACAGCTCGCAGGTTTAAGCTTCAAAGTCCACCAGCCGCTCACCCAGCCCCTCGTCCCATCCAAGGGAAAGGGGGAAAAAAAAAGAAACAAAGGGGGGGGGAGGGGGAGGAACCAACAAAATAAACCCCTCTAGATATTCACTGATATCTATGCAATGGCTCTGGGAATGAGACCTGCAGACGGTGGCAGCCCATGTACCGCAGCGTCAGGCGGGCTTAGGAGGAAGGCGCGGAGGTGGGCTTCTCCTCCCGGGACACGGGGATGGGCCTCTCGCTGTGGCTGGCATCCATGTTGGAGGGGACCTTGGGGCCCGAGAAGGTCAGCATGCCGTTTGGACAGGGAGCAGGTGATGGCAGCCTGGTCCACGTTGGCGGGCAGGCGGTACCGGCGGTGAAATTCGCGGGAGATGTAGCCGTGGTCGTCCTGAGAGGCAATGGGGAAAGGGGGGAAGGCCCATCAGAACCACCCATGGCACCACGCCGTGCCTCCCTCCACCCAACCCTGCGGCTCCGTCGGAGGGGGGTCCACATTCGCCCTGGCTTATCACGACACTCTACTGCTGGTATCACTGGGCGGATCTCTGCTTTTTACTCTATTTTATAGGTTTGTAGTGGCAGGGGGGGGCCCACAAATTACTCTATGTTATAGGTTTGTAGTGGCAGGTGTCCCCCCATGAAGTCTCTGAAGCTGCAAGAGCTCAGCAGAGCAGCAGGGTGTGATTTTAGCCATACTATAGGTCGGGATCTGATTTGGATAGGGGCCCTGCTGCAGCCTCCGATTTCAAAAGATGCTTGGAGAAAAAGTCTGGGGTTCTGCGAAGGTAAAAACAATGTGCACGTGTGCACTCATGTGCTTCCTTACTAGGCAGCAACACTGTGTCAGCCAAAGTACACAATCCTGGCTCCTTTTTTTTTTGGCCAAAAGAATGAGAAATGCAAATTTTTTTTAAGTCAGCCGTGAAAACGGCTGCTGTCTTCCTCTGGAAAAAATAACTACATTAAAAAATACATACTGTTTCCAGGATAGAGCTTTGTCTGGCCAAAAAGCTGTATGAGAAGAATTAAACCCCTGCTGGTATAATTCACTTCTCGACCCCCGCAGATATTTCCATGACATATGTGTTAAAATTTCCAAGCCTGAGGCACTCGTTTGTTTTTCTTTTGTTTTGTTTGCTCTCGCTTTTCTCTCCTACATCAGCATATGAAAACTCTGTTTTCACTAACGATTCTGGCTTATGAAAACTCAGCCATGCTTTGGCAGCACCAGATGATGTTCTTTGTCTGGTCCGGTGTTATTAGTGAACAATGGACATCATCATCTGACGGTTATAGAAGATGATGATTGAAAATAAACAAAAGAGGAGTGGATTAGCTCATTATTGTCAGATATCAGGTTGGGGCTCTATGGGAATGAGCCATGCCAATAATGACTATCGATAAATAACTCCTTCTTCTAATCTATTCTTTTTTTTATTCCCTTCAGCTGAGGACCATTGGAAAGAAAGAAAATGGAGCTCGACTCCCCAGTTGCAACACCATCACCATCACTTCCACTTACCTGTCTTTCACTGTGCTTGCCATGGATTTCCACAAAGTCATCGATAATCTTCACACTCAGGTCTTCGGGAGAGAAGTGTTTTACATCCAGCATGATTGTAAACTTGTCCCGGTCAGACCTCACCTGAAACGAACATTGTTAGACAGTAAGACCCGAGCTCTAAATGCGGAGGCAGTGCCAGCGTCACGGCAGCTTAAAAGCCGGAGAAAGGGTGGTCTGGCAGTGTCACGGTTTCTCCTTCTGTGGCCACGGGCCTCGGCGGGGGTTGTCTTCCCATCGCGGGGACCCAAGGACACTGGGAGGCCGCGGTAGGCGCCTGCACCATTGCTACTGCTCTGAGGATGGGCGTCACTTCTCACCCCTATTCTTGTGCCGGGGACCCCTTGGCACTCAGCGATCTGCCAGATGCACCGGGCATTTGTACTCAGCAGCGAGAGGGGATGGAAACCAGTGTAATATTCTCTGATAGCACGCGTTTCATCCTTTCAGCGATTTATGGTTTTTTTGCGGTCTTAGCTCTGGGAAGAAACCAGTAAGAGAGGGCTAGAGAAAGCACCGGTCCCTGAGCTTCAGACCACAGCACCCATGTCTACGCGCTCTTCCTACACGCTGCCTTCGGAGAATTGTTCCTGGGTCCTCCAGTGTGAGCTTGCAAAGACCACCGAGCTCCTGAGGCAGAGGCGGGGGCTGGAGGAAGCTCCTGCTCACTGGGGTCCTCTCCCATGCAGCGCTGCCCTCACAGGCGCTTACTCTGGGAACAGCCTAGCTCTCCCCTCGCCATACAGCCGGCGGGTGCGAGGGCAGCAAAGGCAGCCTATTACATGTTGGAAACAACCTTCAGGAGCAAAAATGGCTTCCGTTTCTTGAAGGGAAGCCTTCTCCCCAGCGAGGGTTTCCCTCTGTGCCCAAGAAGGGGTGGGCAGGCTGTGCTTGGTGGTGGGACGGAGGTCCTCCTTGCCCCCTCGCACCCCAGTGCGGGGCTACAGCCTCTGGCCCCCACCGGCGAGCCGCGGGGGGGGGGGGGCGTAAGGAGGGAGAGGAAGGAAAAGAAGAGGACACCAAAGGGCCCTTACCTCTGAAATGCCCGACTCCAGCACGCTGCGGAAGAGGGACTGCCTGTAGTAGGGGCTGATGGTGGAAGAGAACAAAGGCAGCAGATCGTACTCAAGGAGACCCTCTCCGAAAAACTGGTCGAACAAACGGCTTGGAATGAGGGGTCCCAGGGCGCGCTTGAACCAGGGGTGCTGGATGGTAATGTCCATGCTTGCTGCTGCTGCGACCTGTGGCTGCAAGGGGAGAGCGGTGGGGTCAGTGCAGCCGCTGGGGAGACAGCGACGCCTTGGCTGGACTACGCGGTGCAGCCCCAGGGAAGCTCCCCCTATATATACCGGTCTCGCAGAATGAAGGCATTAGCGGGATTTCTCTGGAAAGACATGATCTCATGATGGAGGCAACGTGGTCAGCAGAAATGCGGAGACTGACCTGGAAATGACAGTCTGGTTGGAATCGGTGCCAGATCTCCCGGAGGGACGATGCCAGGCAGCAGGCTGTGAGACACAGGGTGCCCAAGGGTGCTGGCAGGTCCTCTGCGGGATCAAGCAGGCTAAACAGGACACCCCAGTGGGCGTCTCAAGGATGCTTGTGAAGGAGGCCTGCTCTGTGGTCTTTGTAACCCGCCCTTGGCTTTCCATTAATTTGCTTCTGTTTCTGGCTCTCCTTGAAACAGAGACACAAAGTCTCTTCCAAATAAATGAAACAACTGTCTTCCAAGTGAGGAAGAAGTGTTTGATTCAGGTTGAAGAAAGGGAAACTTTTTTTGTGACATGCTATGAAGTGTTTCCGCCACTTGAGAGGGGCCTGACACCCCTGGCACGGGGATCCTGGCGGGGCTGGCAGGGAAGCAGGACTAACGCATGATGCAGAGCACAAACATGGATTTGACAAACCACAAACTTTTATCAAATACTTTGCCAAAGAAAGAAGGAAAAACAAGTGGCCACCAACCATAACAGCAGTCCCAAAGCTGCGCTTGCGAGTGTCCTTGTGATCTAGGAGTGTTGTGGGGGATTCATTTACCTCCCACTGTCACAACACAGATCCTGCTTAACATGCATTTCTGGTTATGGCTGTGTTGCATTTCCGTTTCACTTAAAGACACCTTTAAGGTGTCGTCCACCATCCTGGACGGACCGAGGAAGGGGCACGTGGACAGCCCAATGCAGGAGCAGCAAGCTCTGTCAGAGAGCTGAGGCAGCTGGGCAGTGAAAGGGCGTCGAGGCTGCCTGCCTCCACAGCAAGGCTCAGCACGAGGCCTTGGCGACAACCAAAACCCCATTTCCACTGGAGCCAGTGATACAGGGACTGCATCCTAGGGGCCTTCTGGACAGCAGAAGCACCTACGTCAGGAGTCTTGTGCATTTCAGCACCTTTCACAGTCAGCGGAGAGAGAGGGAGAGAGAGGAGAGAGCACCTCCGAAAGACACTTCAGAGCTGAGGGGCTGAATCATCCTCTCATGGTGCCAGGGACTAAAGAAACCAAGGGTGGCTGAGATCCTGGCATCAATGCTTCAGGAGAAATGGAATCAATCCGGGCCAGAGGAGCTAAATTCAGAAAATCACTGAGGCAAAGTGACATTCAGCTGAGCATTGCCTGGCATCTAGGTGCCATGTGGTCCTGGAAAGTCCTTGACCTTGACTCCCACATGTGTGCATGGAGGCAGGTAAGGAAAAGTGGGAACCAGAAGATCCCGCTACAGTGACTTTCCTTCAAAGAAAGCAAAAAGTTGAGCAGAAAAACACCCAAAAAGGCAGTAGAGACCGCTAAGACGACAGTCAAGAATTTAGGTTCAACCTCACCTACTTTCAGCAAGAAAAGGCCCTGTGGTCTGGCCGTGGCTCTCGGGCATGAAGGCTTTTCTAAAATCAGGTGCCAAAATGAAATCAATCCCTCCTCAAGACATGGAGGAAAAAAACACAATGGACAGACCTAACCCCCCATTCAGTCTCGTTGTCCCAAATCTGTCATTTTTCTTCAGAAAATGAAGGGAAAGCCAACAAGAGTCATAAAGCGCTACCAAGATTTTTCTTCAAGAGCTCTATGAGATTTGGGTCTTTGCCCCAGGAGAGAAGAAAATCTCTCCTCAGCCACCCAGTACCAGAGACCGGCTAACCCATAGTTAACCAAATGGCAGCAGTGACCTGATATATCAGAATGAATGGAGAGATACAGGAACAGGTTCAAATACCAAGCCACTCACTGGAGCACACAAAGCAAATTATTTATTTGGCTGGTAGAGGAGCAGGTGGGAACTGTGCCCTGACACAGAAAGTGAGACAGATTTGGGGGTTTGACATACCATTTGGGCCCCAGCCACATGTGAGGGGTGGATGCAATCCCTGCAGTGTGTTGGGAACATCCCCTTTGTGTTTCCCAAACCAGGGTTTATACCAGGAGCACAGGGAGCAATGCACATAATGGCAGGCTCCTCTCTGGGCATCTTTCAGTCCTTAAGAAACTGCCAAACCCTTGAGCTCTGACCTCCAGCATGTTCCCCATGCAGGAATGGGGGCGGATTATTGGGGCAGGGAGAAAGAAGGAAGCCCAGGTGGGCTGTACCTCTCTCAGCAATACCAACCAGCAGCACATCGGTGCTCTTAGACACCAGAAAAGCAGCCATTTGCCTATGCACCACCACTTATCTCACAGGGAAGCCCAACAAAATCCTTCATCTACCCACAGCCTGAAGCTTGCTCCAGGATCGGAGCATGTGTGTGTTCAGCATGTGATCGAAGCACCCCATA